GTACTGAAGAGCAACAATGTCAGTCTGGAGATTAAGGTGCACCTGATCCAGCCCATAGTCTTTGCAACTACTTGCTATGCATCAGAGAGTTAGACAATGACTAGGGATGATAGAATGAGAGTTGATGCCTTTGAGCTTTGGTGCTGGAGAAGAGTACTGGATATACCATGGACTGCTAGGAGGACATATAAGTTTGTCCTGGAGAGGGTGAAGCCAGGCTGCTCCTTGGAGGCAAGGATTCTGATGCTCCATCTGGCATACTTTGGACATGTTGCAAGGTGGGATCAGTCCTTGGAGAGAGATGTCATGGTTAGGAGGGTGGAGGGACAGTGCAGGAGAGGAAGACCCTCAGTGAGATGAACTGATTCAGTCACTGGAAGAAGGGCAACAGGCATATCGGAGACAGTAAGACTGGAAAGGGATAGAGCAGGGTTTAGGGCTGTTGTACATAGGGTCACTATGAGTTACAAGTGACTCGAAGGCATACAACAACAACAAAAGAAATAGTCTACACTAAAGAGCAGCGAGGGAAATGCTTGGAGACCTACTTTCAGTAAGTCAGATCAACCACTGAAGAAGATATATGGAGTAGATCTCTTCTCCACTATTCATGGAGTGGGCATGTATCATAACCAACTCCACAGAAGCTGATTTTATTCTCAGCGATATTAACTCTCTTTGACAAATTATTGTAGTGAGCATACGATTTACAGCCTCTGAAAACTGCTGGAGGGTCAGCTTTGCATAGATCCTGGCTTGACAGCAATGAATTTTGAGGTTTTAAAGCAATGGACAGGCACAGAGACTGTATGGATGGTTTGCTTTTTACTTGCCCCACTAATTTAGTATTTTTCCTTTGTCTTTGAAAATATGACTACATGTAGGTATCTGTCTGTGACTACAATGATAGGTTTATTCACTTTGGGATTTAATTTGTTTCAAAGAGCTCCAAATGAAGATTCTCCCAAGATAAGTAATATGTTTGTTACTATCTAACCAATAATTTTTGAAAGTAAGAATTTTACATATCAGTCTGAAACTGTATTTACACAAATATTTTAATTGGAAATCATTTTAGAAACCACTGTAGAAGAGTGGAAGAGTGTAAAGGGACAAAAATCAATATGTTTTCAACTTATGCATTTGATTTTCAGGAAGGCTTCTATTTTCATGGTTGTTCATATTCACAATTAATTATTTCCCCCTTTTTAAAATTTTCTTGTAAAAAATACATGTTCAAACTATCTACAAGTTGACTAATATGCAATCATCTTATATAAAATTTGAATTACATATATATTATATATGTGTGTATGTATGCATAAATAGAAATTAATTAGAAGTTTTTATTCTTCTGTTTTGTGGAAGTATTATAATAATTTAAT